AAAACGAGAAAGAATTGCAGCAGACTCGAGAAGGGAGTAGGAAGTATGAGAGATCGACGAGAGAGTTCGTTTACGCCTTACGATTCGGAAGAAGGAAGAAGGACCGAGACGATCGTAGAGAAGAAATGGAGGAGAACGGCGAAGTATTGAAACCCGCGTGGATTCGTTTATGCTTTACCATTCGAAGAGAAACGAGACGAAAAATATAGGAGGGATATATCAAAAAAGAAATAAAATGAAAAACATACGTGAGGGGGAAATGGATTGGATCGATCGAAGTCTTTTCGGATATCGCACGAACATCGTGGCGTAAATGAGACGTGAGCAGTCGAAAGGGCGCGTGCATATAAATATACCATAAATATATATATATATATATAAATATAAATAAAGAAATATATTATATATATATAAATAAGAAAAATGAAAGAAGTAAAAAAGAAAAAAAGACGTAAAAAACTTAGTACCTAAGTTTCTAGTGAATTTTTCGAATAGTGATAAAAAAGAAAAAAAAAAAAAGAGAGAAAACTACCGTTAGCAGAGTTACGTAGTCACTAGTTCGTTCGACGGCTGTTCAATAACAAGGAGATCAGATAGGAGGGAGTCATTATTATTATTCGAGTTATTGATTATTCTCATAGTTTATTACCGCGGTCATTGTTCTTATTATTGTTACCATTAAGTGTTTATATTTAGAAACAAGTTAAGACAAGGATCGAGGGCCACGAGAAACTATAGTCAAGAGACCAAGAGCTAAAAACGCAAGAGACGAAGAAGGACTGCTGAGACGGAAATGAAATGAAAAAAAAAAAAACAAAAGAAAAAATAAAAAGAGAGAAAGAAATAGTAAGAGTAACGAGAAAAAAAGAAAAAAACAAGAGTAACCGGCGGCCCTTGCTCTCCCTTCCGTCCAAATTCGAATTTTTTCCGATTACCTCTCGGCGATATAGCTCGATCGCGATCGATCGGTAGAGTGAAACGCGTAACACCTGAGCGATTCTTAGGGAGACACATTTAGCTAAAAGGGAAGGGAACATCGATCGTAAAAGAGCAAACGAAAAAATGAAAAAAGCGAAAAAAATCGACTAAAAATCGAGGAGAAAAATGTGCGCTTCGTTAAGAATAGCTCGACGAATCGAGCAGCACTGACTCTCGCGTCTAAAAAAAAAAACGTGCAAACAAATAAGAGAAAAAGTAAAAACCAAAAAAAAAAAAACAAAAAAAAAACAAAACAAAGAAATGCCTTTCTTTCACGTTTATACGGTGCGTTTCTATCGAGTGTAATTATATAGTAAGATTAATTGTTAGAGAAAGGAAGAGTAAAAGAAACCGATTTATATGTTCGCTCGTGAACGAGAGATCTTATTGTTAGAACGAGATATAGAGATTAGAGGAGTGTGTCGCGATTCGACGATCGAGACTGTTCTTAGCAAGAAGTTTTCAGGTGTTACGGCCGGTAACGTTCGAGCAAAGTAGCCATTGTTTTCATCCTTTCTCGAAGCGGTTCACCGGTCTTTCATCGTGCTCGTTTTAGCCGTCGCGACGAACACACGACATACACACCGTTGTCGGTGTACGAACGACGCGCGAACGATGGCGGACGGGATGGACAGAGCATCGACTGCCGGCAAGTAACGCGAGCCTTATAC